CGTTGATCCTAACACGGCCACAAGGACCGTGCACCCAGTCCCCTCCAGCAACGACCAACTGTCTCCTGGAGCCAGTATGGATGAGGTAGTGGGTAATAGACAAGTAGGCACCTTGTCAACATGCACATCAAGCGCAACCACACCGGGGATATTAAACAACAGCCAAACACTTGAGAGAGAGAGAAAGAAAAAGAGAGAAAATGTCGATTAATGCATGAGGAAACGGTGATATAAACCTTAATTAAATAGCTTATGTAATAAGTTGTGTACAAACAAATCCTAGCTAAGTGCACGAGGTCAGGAAATATTGTTCAGTGAATGCCACGAACACAAATATGCTACGGAAATCGAATACAATTGCCTTAACTGAGGTGTGCAAGTCAATATAATAGAGCACAGGGAGATATTTATATGAGAAAGAAAAGCATTAATGTAAAAACTAAACCCACCACCTGAAATAAAGCGATTTAGCATGCAAGCACGCGGTTAGTAACTCGAATTCAGCTTGACTACAAACGCTGCGCCGGCTCGCCGTAATTTTCTGCAGGACCCGTCGTCGCTTCTGTAGTGGCCCCAAAGGACCTAGCTCATGGCCCATTAGACATTTATATTAGAAAGAAAGGTAGTAGGAGAGAAGCGCAAACCCACCACCTGAAATAAAGAGACTTAGCATGCAAGCACGCGGTTAGTAAATCGATTTCAGCGTGCCTACAAACGCTGCGCCGGCTCGCCGTAATTCTCTGCAGGACCCGTCGTCGCCTCTGTAGTGGCCCCTAATGGCATAGCTCATGGCCCACTAGACATTTATATGAGAAAGAAAGGCATTAGGTGAGAACCGAAAACCCACCACCTGAAATAAAGAGACTTAGCATGCAAGCATGCGGTTAGTAAATCGAATTCAGCGTGCCTACAAACGCTGCGCCGGTGCTGCCTACGTTCGCTGCTGGACACGTCGGCGCTTCGGCAGTGGTCCTGAGTGACCTCTCTCATGGCTCACTAGGCCTGCCTGACTAAGGCACTCGCGACCGCATGTTCTACAGCACCATGCGCTCGATGTCGATGGAGTACAATTCATTGGTGCTTGCCGCTTTCGCACGTGCCGCTTCTTCTCTGCATGCAAGAGGGCTTTCTCCCGCACTTCAGCAACTGCCTTCGTGATTAGATCGCGCCATGCACCACAGTCAACCGCCTTCGATTCCCGTGATCTGCAATCAAGATTAGAACGTGTGTGGCTCACTTTAATCATGTCCTGGTAACGTAACTTTGGTTTCCCCACGTGCCTCTTCCCTATACTCAGCTGACCATATAAGAGTTGTTTCGGTATCCGCGTCAAATCCATACGGCTCACATGACCGAGCCATCTCAGGTGCCTCAGTAAAAGTATGCAGTCCACTGCATACATCCCACTTCGGCGCAAAACTTCCGTGTCTGCAACTCTGGCGCCCCAACCGATCCGCAAAATTAGTCGCAGACACTGCTGATGGAACCGCTCGAGATATCGCACATCCCGACGGTACATCGTCCACGTTTCACTGCCGTATAGAAGAACGGACAGTACCATGGATTTGTACACCATCAGCTTCGTGCCAATGGTAAGCTGACGGTTGTTCCAACCTCGGTACTCTATCTTCCCGAATGCCGCTGCTGCCTTCGACACGCGATTACGCAACTCAGTGTGTAGCTGCTGATCAGTCGATATCACACGCCCAAGGTAGGTGAAGCGGGAGGTGGTTTCCAATACTTCAGCACCAATGCTGATTCGCGGAAATATTGAACATTGCACCACCGGTGAAGGCTGAAAGAGACAGACAGTTTTGCTTGTGTTGATGGTGAGCCCGAATTTGGCCGCCGTCGAAGCCAGAGCACTAGTCATTTGCTGCAACTCATTCGCGCTGTGTGAAAACAACGCACAGTCGTCAGCAAACAGCAACCTAAGGATAGTTGTCCCACAGACTAGAGTTCTCGCACCGAAACGACGGATATTCATCAACCCATCATCAATACGGTGCTCCACACGAACGCCGTAAGCACAGGAAGCATCAAAAGCACAAGACAACATTGCATGAAGATATATATTAAACAAGGCAGAAGTAAAGACACAGTTTTGCTTCACACCAGAGGCAACTGCAAAGTCATCCGAGGTCAGTCCACACAGCTGCACCCGCGCTCGCATACCACTGGCCAGACATTCAATAAAACTTACAAACTTACGCGGGCAACCAAACTTACCCAACACCAGCCACAATGCCTCGCGGTTCACAGTATCGAATGCATTGGTGAAATCAACAAAAAGTGAGTACAATGGCTGGTGTCGTTCTCTGCACATATCCTGCAACTGACGAGCCGCAAACACCATATCTATAGTGCTGCGACCCGAACGGAATCCACATTGCTCTTCCGCCACGTTAAGTTCCACAACCAGACTCACGAGGCGATTGAGCAGGATTCGGGCAATCACCTTGCCCACACAACTCAGCAAGTTGATGCCACAATAATTCGTGCAACATTGCTTGCTCCTTTTGCCCAGGTACAGTGGTAGCACAAGGGCATCCTTCAGCTCCGGAGGCACCTCCTCCTCAATCCATACACGTTGCACCAAGTGGTGCAACGCAGTCAACAACGCGGGTCCACCGTGTTTCAATACTTCAGGTGGGATCCTGTCACCTCCGGCACATTTACCGTTTCGCAGCTGAGCAAGTGCTCTCTGCGTCTCGTCCAGTGTCGGCGTATCCACCAGATCCGCCTTCACATCGTGCTGCTTCAGGCCGTTCAATGTAGGCCAGTCGATCTCAGAACGGTTGTTCAAGAGACAGTCAAAGTGGTTCGGCCAGATCTGCATTATGTCTGCAGTCTGGGTGCAGGTTGCGCCTGAACTACCATCGATCAGTGTCTTCAGCGGCTCCAATCTCGGTCCATACACCGCCTTCAAGGAGTCAAAGAATTCATTGTGTTGACGGCGTTCGGCGTAACATTCCATCTGCTTCGCCTTCTCCGTCCACCGTGCATTCTTTATGCGACGGAGCTCTGGGGTCAGTCGCCGTCGAAGTTTGCGAAACTGGCTACTCTTCCCCAAGTCACTGGGGTCTGCAACATGTGCAGCAAATGCTGCATTCTTCTCTGACACCAATGCGCCAATCGTCGCATGGTTGTCGTCAAACCAATCAGGCCGCTTACAGTTTGCGCGCCAGATGGTCTCTTCGGCAGCAGCTGTCACTTGGTCGCGAATGTGGTGCCACAGGTCGCCCACTGTGGCTATGCATTCCTCATCACACAGGCGTGCAGCCATCGCCTTCTCCAGCTCAGTATGTTTCGCCACAGTACCGAGGGAGAGAATGTTAAATTTATGCCGATTCACGGAGGGAGTGCAATCAATGGATTTACGAAAATATATGTACAGTTTGGTCCGAACCAACTTGTGATCAGTGCCACACTCAGCTCCACGCAGTACACGTGTCATACGCACTTCACGCTGTTCTAGCGCCCTAAGCAAAGAGCGATAAGGTAAATCAGGAGTAGAATAGTAACAAAAACCAGTGGGAGCTGTTCGTTCACCCGCCATTACGCATAGCGTATGGTAGGCTTTGGAGCCAGCTAAAAGAGAAATGACACACGGACGGCCAAGATAAGAAAAGTGGTGATGGAAAGTTTCTGGTGCTCCAGCCAGCCAGTGTGACAGGGGCCTCTCTGCCATTGGTTAGCTTTCGTGCCAGTGAAATGAAATCTGGAAATGCGCGTGTTTTACGAGCAAAAGCAGTTAAAGAAGAGGAGCTGGTTTTCTTTATGCCCGTCTACTAGTGTTGACAATAGCGAAAGGCACATGTATACCAGATAAAGCTAAGTATATGGGGCCAAGAGAATATAAGTGGAGTGCAAAATGTCTGATTCTTGGGCCTAGAACTTTTAAAGTGCGCTCATTGTCAACAACAAGAAAGATATAGTTTTATTTTGCGGCTTACCTACTGATAGTGTTTGGAAACTGCTGACTATAGTAACTAGTGCTCAGACTTAATGAAAAAGCTT